ATGAAGTGTTGTTTTTGATGTTATCAGACTTTTTTTTTTTTTTTTTTTTTTTTTTAATATAAATAATCATATAAATAATCCGCGGTAAAAATAGTTAGGTTTTTAATATTGTGGAGTAAATATGTTGAAATTATAAATATTTTTATTATAAATAATAAAATTAAAGATGAAATTATAAACAATTTAGAGAAAAGCGTCAAATAGACCCCTAAGCTTTACTCCAAAGGTCAATCAGGCCCCTAAACTTTAAAAAAGTTCAATTAAACACTCAAACATGTCAAATTGGGTTAATGTAGCTCAAAAACCGGTAAATGACCTATTATTACAGGTCATTTCAATTCCGACGACGAAATTCGGCCACCGGTGACGGATTCCGGCGGCCGGCGAGAATTTCTGGCGGTCGGTAAGATTTTTCGACGGCCGGCGAGATTTTCCGGTCGTCTTCCACTGGAGAAGACGACCGTAAGGCCGCCTTCTCCAGTGGAGAAGACGACCAGATCTAGTTGTCTTCTCCATTGGAGAAGACGACCGTCTGGTGGTCGTCTTCTCCATTGAGAAGACGAGCAGACGGCCACGGCCAGATCTGGTCGTCTTCTACTGGAGAAGACGACCGGACGGCCGTCTTCTCCACTGGAGAAGGCTGTAGACGGTCGCCTGCCGCCTTCTCCAATGGAGAAGACGGCCATCCGGTCGTCTTCTTCAGTGGAAGACGACCGGACAGTCGGAAAATCTCGCAGGTTGCCAGAAAATCTCGTCGGTCGCCGGAATCCGTCACCGGTGGCCGGATTTTGTCGCCGGAATTGAAATGACCTGTAATAACAGGTCATTTACCGGTTTTTGAGCTTCATTGACTCAATTTAACATGTTTGAGTGTTTAATTGAACTTTTTTTAAAGTTTAGGGGCCTAATTGACCTTTAGGGTAAAGTTTAGGGGCTTAGTTGACCCTTTGGAAGTGTTCATTTATTTGAAAGTGTTCATTTATTTGAATATTAATAAAAATTTATCACCCAAATTACTTGAATAATATATGCCTCTGCTTTTTATAATTATCTTGGAAAAATTGATATTGTAATATGATTTAGTCAATTATATTATTACTAAAATAAATATGTGAAAATGTTAGGAATAAAGTGTAATGGTTTTGATATGCCAAATATGTATTTGTAGATCCCCCAATTTTATTTCATAGGTCTAGTAGAGTCTTAGACCATGATCGGGAAATTATTTAAATTGGAAAAGAGAAAAACAGAGGAAGATGCATGAAAATAGAAAAAGAAGATATAAAGCCTAAAATCAAGAATTTGTCTGGAGAAAATGACAAATTGAAGAAGAAGATGAATGATACAATATCCATGTCGCTACTACTCAAAGAAATATCCCAGAAGAATTTTCGTGAAAGAAAATTAAGATTGGAAGAATGCATGAAATTGACTTGGAGACCAAGCATCTATGGAAAGAAAGGAGTACATCAAAGAAGATTAAAGATTTAATCAATAGTTGTACAGACGAAGTGGATGATGCTTGATATGTTATGTAAAATGCCTTAAGTTTGAATCTCACCATTAATAATTTTACAAGGTAAAATTTGAGATGCCAAAATTAATTAAGTCTGATGGAGTGAGGAATTGGGAGCTGACCAGGAGAAGGAGATGGAGCCATAGCCAATAAGGGAGAAAGAAAGCGAGATCAAATAGGAGAAGTCTGGGAGCCATAGCCAATAAGCAAGGGAGAAATTTTTGCCTCACAATTGAGCCAATTTCAGCTGGGAGCTTGGGAGCCATAGCCAATAAGCAATTGAAATTGGGAGCTGGGAGCTAGTTTCACAGAAATTGAAAAATCAATTGAAATTGACAATTGAGCCAGTGTAGAACCGATTCGAAGAAGACATGGAGATCAAATTGAATGGAAATAAAATAAGTCTGGGAGCCAATTTCGAAGTCAAGGTCAACATAATTCAAATTGGGAAGCAAAAGTCAAAGTCAATTGGGAGTTTTGGAGCCAATTGCAAGTCAAAGTCAATTGGGAGCCAATTACAATGGAGAAATTCAAAATTGGGTGTCAATTACAAGTCAATTGAAATTGGGTGTCAATTACAAAGGAGAAATTTAAATTGGGAGGAAGTTCAAAGCCAGTTTGAAGTCTGAGAACACCCAGACGTGAGAATGAAGAAGATGAAGATGAACTTACAGTGAAAATATTATCACAAGGAAAAATACTAGTTTAACTAGTATGGGATTAAATTGAAGACTATTTTTAAATCCCAAAGATACAAGGACCACTTCAGAGCTGATCAGAGAAGTCATTCTACACCAAAACAGAGACCCAGATATTCCCACTCAACGTTAAACCAGAGGAATATCAGAGGAAGTTTGAGAGCTCATTTACATGGAGATGAAGATCCATCAACGGCTAGCTTATCTCTTTCTGACATCTTTGCAGAAGATAAGATAAGATCTCTGACAAAAAGATACAAGATTTCAAAAATGAGAGCGTCTCTTTCCAACGGACAGATTCTCATTACCAGCTATAAAATGATGAAGATATGAAGACTTGAAGATGCGGGGAACACACGAGCAAGACATACGAAAAGGAGCTTAATAGAGCAATAGAGCAAAAATCTCATTTGGTACAGAGCATACAAAAAATCTTCAAGTGAGAAGTGAGAAAAGAAAAAGAACTCAGAGAGTTTCAAGAGAAAAATATTCCAAGAGTTCTTAAACAGAGCAAAAATATCAAGTTCTTTACTTGATATATTCAAAGAGAGAAAACACTCAGAGCTATCAAGAGAAATCATTCCAGAGTGTTTATCTTCATCAAAGAGACTTGCGCATCATTGAAGATCATCTACAGAGTCTCAGAAGTTGGAAGCAAGACAACACTTGTTTTGGAGCAAAACAAGAGAAGGGAGGAAAGTAGCACGGAGCTGTGAAATCCTGGATTGTCACACGGAGCTGTGAGATCCGAAGCAGCAGTGTCGGAGGCACTGGGTGTGATTGGTGTGGGCTTGGTGATCAAAGCACCAGATCATGGATACGTTTCTACCGGAGTGTGGAAGACGGGGGGAAAGTAACGCGGAGTCGTGAAATCCTGCGATAGTAGCGCGGCGACGTGAAACCCGAAGCAGCAGTGTGGTGTCACTGGGCGTGATTAGTGCAGGCTTTGTGATCAAAGCACTAGATCACGGAAATTCATTGTATCTTGGAACCAATGAGTGGTAGATATAGTGAATTGCTCTTGGAGATAAGAGCAAGTGGAGTAGGAGGATTACACCACCTCGCGAACCACTATAATTGTCTTGTGTTCTTTACTACTTTCTTTACATACTGCTCTTTACATATTCGCTCTACACGAGATATACTGCTCACACAATCTCACACACACTTTATGTTTATTTATTTCCGCTGTGCACCATACTCTAACAATCTAGTTAAGAGTTTTGGTTTATCTCTGGCTTAACAATTGTTGTGCTGTGCGAAAAAGTTTGAAAGTCTATTCACCCCCCCCCCCCCCCCCCTCTAGACTTTCACCTTACCTCTTTTGGGACCAAAAATTGGTATCAGAGCCTGTAACCTATTTGAGTCAGTTTATACCAACCTTTGGTATTAAAACACGTTGCCCAACTGGGTTAACTGTTTTTGACTGCTAGGCTGATCCATTCTACAAAGTGTGTGAATTGGATTAATCTTTCATATCTCTCGTGATGATGATGAAGAAAGATTTAGCTCAAAATCTATTATTCTCACTTGATAAATTTGATGATTGGAAAGTTCGTATGCAGGTACACTTATCGGCTTTACACGATGAAATGTGGGAAGTTATTTCCACTGGCCCTATAGTAATATTAAAAATCAATACGGCATTTGTTATATCCCCGGATGCTCCACAGAACGTACAAAAGCCAAAATCGGAATGGACATCGGACGATAGAACGCGGAATAATCTTGACAATATTGCCAAGGATATTCTATTCAAAGCCGTAGATGATACAATATTTCCGAAGATCCGAAAGTGTGCCACTGCCAAAGAAATATGGGAAACTCTCATCAAGATTGGCGAAGGAGATGAACAAGAAAAAGACAATGAGCTTACAATCGCCATGAAGAAGTTTGAAGATTTCAAAATGCTCTCAAATGAAAGTGTTGCAGACATAGAAGCTCGAATGATCAAAGTTCTTGGAGAGATTAGTGATCTTGGCAAAAATATTAGCCAAAAAGAAATTAATCTCAAAATCCTACGAGGCTTACCATTTGCAAGGTGAATCCACCAACCAAAGGTTGTGTTGGACCTCCTTGGGTCCGAAAACCCAAAAACCAACACTGGCGCCGTCCGTGGGAATCGAAACAAAGAACTACGTGACTCTCTGAGCAAGGCAAGACCCGAAGTCGACCGAAGAAGCGTCACAAGCATGTCGGAAGGACGAGACCAAGCGAACAATCATAATGGCGAAATTGAGGCAGATCTAAGAGATCAGTTGAACCAACGAAACGCTCAGAGTCAGGAAAACGAAACGGCACCGGTGAACCGGCAGCCACCCATGATACCCCTCACCCCGGAACAACTCCACGCGATCGGGCGAGCCTTCACCGACGCAAGTCGAGGAGTGAGGGAGCAGTCAGTTTCTCGACCGATGCCTCGCCATCAACAACCGTCTCAGAGGCCGGAAGACAGATAGGAAAGCCGACGGGCGGAGAGCCAACCAGTACGATCAGTCCATTCGAGGCTGGGTCCGAATGCCGGGCGGCAGCCTGCGCGAGAGCGACTAGGGGAAAGGGAGCCCAGCCGCGCACCAGCAGGGCCCCGAGATCGGGAAATCGGTCGGGAAAGAGCTCGCACCCGGAGAACTAAGACTCGGACACGACGGACCGAGCGCGTAACGCGCAATGACGACCGACCGGCTGAATCAGAGGTCGGCGAAAGTACGGAATCCACAGGAAACCACACTCGCAATGAAGGTGACGTGGCCCAATTGGCCCGAGAGGTACGAGATCTGAAAGAACAAATGGGGAGAAAGACCAAATCCCCTGGGCAAACGTTACTCACCGCTTTGCCGTTCTCCTCCGAGATCATGTCCTACAAAGTGCCCGGCGACTTCAAATTCCCGGAACAAGCCACCTTCGACGGATCTGGAGACCCACGCGAGTATCTACTTAGCTATCAAGCCAAGATGCAGGTCTTGGGAGTTCGATACCCGGTGATGTGTCGCGCCTTCTTGCCCACGCTGAAAAGCTCGGCACAAAGGTGGCTGGTGGCGCTGCCTCCGAAGTCGATTCACAATTTCGAGGAACTGGCCTACTGCTTCATGAGCCATTACGCGGCCAACATCAAACCACAAAAGGATCTGACTCACCTGGGAGACGTCCACCAAGAGGAAGGCGAGTCTCTGAAAGCCTACTTGGTTCGATGGCAAAAGGAGATCCAGTCTATCGAGGAGGTTGAAGATCAGACCGCGCTTACTTTCTTCATCGAGTCCTTGCGATCCGGGCAACTATACCGGGATCTATGGGATAACCGCCCGGCTACCTACGCAGAAGCCATACACATGGCCAATAAAAGGGCTAACACGGAGCAGGCCATGAAGCATAAACGAGAACGCGAAGTCGGAGGATCCGTTGGCGGAAAGAAGACCCGCGCAGAAATCAAGGAAAGGCGGCCGGAAGGGGCTCGGCGACCCGACGCTAGGCGTCCCTACGACAAACCTATGGTTCATCCCTATAGGGCGGTTCCTCAACACCCGGTACACGAGGTTCAAGCGATTGCTCCACCTCCGCCCCCGCCGACTGACGAACGTGTGGCGAATGAAGAGACATGTAAGAGTTCTAAGTACTGCCGCTATCATAAATCTTACACTCATATCACGGAGGAGTGCTTTTATTTGAAGAAGGTCATGGAAGGAATCATCCAACAAGGGAACCCGCCTCCTAATCAGTGGAGACGAAGGTCAGTCGCACGGGAGGACGATGATCCCGCGATCGCCGCCGAGAATAGCCACGGCAAACGTCCGGCCACTGAGGAGGACGAGGCCCAGTGGCGTCAGAAGCCAGTTATTAATATGATAGTCGGCGGACCGGAAGGCGGCGACTCGACGAATACCAGAAAGGCCTGGGCTTGACAGCTATACGTCGGGACAGTGTACCGGCGCGAAGAAAGCTCAAAGAAGGCATGCCGGGAGCCGATCACGTTCACTGACAAAGATTTTCCCACGGGGGAGACACCACACCGAGATGCGCTGGTCATAGCAATGCACAGAAATGGAGTTGTCGTTCGACGAATCCTGGTCAACACCGGAAGCAGTGTCAACGTGCTATACCTTGAGACTTTCACGAAGATGGGATTAACTCGAGAACAGCTGAATCCAGTCAAGACACCACTCGCCGGTTTCAGGGGAGACTCGGTGGAAGCAGAGGGGTCCATCACCCTGCCGGTGGAAATCGGCAGCTATCCCGATGTACAGAAGCTCAGCATGAAATTCATCGTGATAAATTTAGTCTGCTCACACAATGCTATACTCGGCCGACCAGGCCTAGAGGATCTGGGAGCACTAATCTCCATCGAGCAATTCTGCTTGAAATTCCGCACGCCGAACGGGATAGGAACGGTGCGTTGTGATAGAAGGGTCGCTCGCGACTGCTACCTGCAAGCCTGTAGGTGGATGGGCAAGCGTGGAATGAAAGTCCACGAAATTACGGAAAAGCCCCCAAAGAAAGCAATGATACCCCGCCCGGAACCAGCCGTGGAATTAGAAGAAATCGAAATCGACCCTGAATGGCCGGATAGGCGGGTCAGAATTGGGGTCGGTCTCCCCAAGGATACTCGTGAGGAAATTATCCAAGTACTCCGAAAGCATCGGCTAGTCTTTGCCTGGGGGCCAGAGGATATGCCAGGTGTCGATCGGTCCATCATCCCCCATCGACTCGCCGTGGATCCGGACCATCGGCCGGTCGTACAGAAAAAGCGGTATCTCGCCAATGACCGAAGGGAATTCGTAAAGAAAGAGGTGGGCACGCTGCTAGCCGCGGGCCACATCCGAGAGGTCAAATACCCGGAGTGGTTGGCGAACGTGGTCCTCGTACCGAAACCCCCAGCCTGGCGGATGTGCGTGGATTACACTGATCTTAACAAAGCCTGCCCAAAAGATCCGTTCACATTGCCGCGGATCGATCAGCTGGTCGACGAGACAGCAGGGTCGGCTCTGCTGAGCTTCATGGACGCCTTTAGGGGATATCATCAGATTTTCATGCACCCGGCCGATGAGGAGAAAATCGCGTTCCTCACACCAGATGGGGTATATTGTTACCGAGTTATGCCCTTCGGACTCAAGAATGCTGGGGCCACCTATACTCGGATGGTAGCCCGACTATTCCAAAACTTACTGGGAAAATCCATGGCGGCCTACGTAGACGACATGTTGGTCAAGAGCAAAGAAGAGACCAAACATGCGGAAGATTTGGCCGACTGCTTCCAAGTGATGCTAAGATATAATCTCCGATTGAACCCAAAGAAATGTGCCTTCGCGGTGCAAGGCGGAAAATTCTTATGATACATGGTAACTAAACGAGGCATCGAGCCCAACTAGGAGAAGGTCCAGGCCATCATCGATATGCAACCTCCTAGCATCGTCAAAGATTTACAACGGTTGACTGGTCGACTGGCTGCCCTCAGTCGCTTCCTAAGTAAGGCGGCGGATAAGACTATACCATTCTTCGAGGCCATGAAGAAGAAGGAGGGCTTTGCCTGGACGGCCGAGTGCCAACAATCGTTCGAGGAACTAAAACAGTATCTTTCCAAACCTCCGGTGTTGTCCACCCCACGGGAGGGTGAGCCTTTGTTTTTGCACTTGGTCGCATCCCCTAAGGCGGTGAGCTCGGTACTGGTCCGGGAAGAAGAGCGTACCCAGCACCCGGTATACTACGTAAGCCGCTCCTTAAAGGCCACCGAGATGCGGTACACAGCCTTGGAGAAGATCGTTTATGCGCTGATAATCACCGTACGCAAGTTAGCGCCCTACTTCCAAGCTCATACTGTCCGGGTACTGCGAAACCCCGCGTCGTCAGGTCGACTGGTGAAATGGGCCGTGGAGTTAACCCAGTACGGGATCGAGTATCAACCGCGACCATCCATAAAAGGGCAAGCCTTGGCCGATTTCCTGGTCGAATGCACGGCAGGGGAAGAAGAGAAAGAGCACACCACGGAAGACCGTTCAGGTGAATGCTGGGAAATGCACGCGGATGGAGCGGCCAGTCGACAACACTGTGGAGGCGGAATCATGTTAATCACTCCAGAGGGATTCCGACTCTATTATGCCCTGAGCTATCTGTTCCCGACATCTAATAACGAAGCCGAATACGAGGCTGTGTTGGGCAGCCTTCGACTCGCGAAAACATTGGGAGTAGAACGACTGCGAATCAAAACTGACTCCCGGTTAGTGGTGGGACAAATTTCCGCCACCTGCGAAGCTAAGAACGCTCGGATGACACAGTATAAGGAGAAGGCGATAGAAATGCTGAAGGAGTTCCGAACATATGAGATAGAGCATATCTCCCGGATGGACAACATCGAGGCCGACATATTATCGAAGATCGCCTTAGAGGGAATACCGGATCACCTCGCCAAGATTTTCCAAAAGGAAGAGTTGAGTCGCCCAAGTATAGAGGAGACGTCGATGGAGGTCTAACAGGTAATCATTGAGGAATGCGATCGAGAGGAAAACCTTGAGATGTTTTGGATAGAAGACCTCCGACGGTTTAAGGAAACGCGCGAGTTGCCCGACGATTAAGGAGTCGCCGCAAGGATTCGACGGAAAGCTCCTTCATTCCAGATCATCGACGGACAAATGTACAAGCAGTCATTCAGGGGGCCCCTCTTGAGATGCCTACTTAGGCCCGAAGCCGAGAGAGTAATGGATGAGGCGCGCCGAGGAATCTGCGCCGCCCACCAAGGGGCCCACACTCTCGCCCGGAAGCTAGTTGTCCAGGGGTATTACTGGCCAACCATGATGTGAGATTGCATGGAATGGATAGCTAAGTGCAGCATCTGCCAAGTCTTCGCCCGGAAGGACACTCGGCCGGCCACCTTCTACACGCCGGTCACTACAGCCATTCCTTTAGCTAAATGGGGAATCGACTTATTGGGACCACTACCAGCCGCCCCAGGAAACTTGAAATTCTGCGTAGTGGCCATCGATTACTTCACCAAATGGGTCGAGGCCGAACCACTAGCCACCATCACCGAGTATCTGTGTCGACGCTTCCTGTGGAAGAGGGTGATTTGCCGCTTCGGCCTACCCGAGCACGTAGTGAGCGATAACGGCAGACAGTTTGACTGCCAAGCTTTCGCCGACTTCTGTCGCCGGCATAGTATACGACACACCAAGGTATCCGTCGCGTATCCCCAGGCCAACGGGCAAGTCGAAAATGTGAATCAGACTATAGTAGACGGGATCTGGAAGAAATTGGAAGACATCGGGGGAAACTGGGCGGATGAGCTCGACCGGGTCCTCTGGGCTTACCGAACTACACAAAGACGAGCGACTGGAGAGAGCCCATTTTCCCTAGCATATGGCTTTGAAGCCAAGGTTCCAGTAGAGGTCGTGGAACCCACGTACTGGGTTCGCAGCTATTCCGACGAAGAGAATGAAGAGAGCCTTAGAATTGAGAAGAACTTCCTGGAAGAGAGAAGGGAGGTTGCGTGCGCTCGGATGGTTGAATACCAAAAAACCGTGAAGAGGTATCGCGACCGGAGGATTCGCCCACGAGCCTTCCAGGTTGGCGACCTCATGTTACGAGACCGACAGGCGAGCCAGCCCACGGAAGGGGGCAAACTCGCAATTAAGTGGGAAGGACCCTATCGCATTACAGAAGTGGTTCAGGCCGGTACCTACAAGCTCGAAACCCTGGAGGGAAAACCCGTAGACTGACTTTGGAATGTCATCTATTTTGAAAAAATTCTACCAATAAAAGGGTTAGACATGTACCCGAGTTTTCGATCCTAATAAAAGAGCACCCTTTATCCTCGATCGTTGATCTCCACTCGGCGAGGAAAGATAGGAAACAAGGGCCCAGACCCTTAGTCGTTTCCGAGAAAAAGCCAAAAGGAGTCACCTAGACTGAGGGACTCGGCGAGTATATAAAGAAACAACGGGGCACTGACCCTAAACCGTTTCTAAGAAAGAAAAAGCCTAAGCGGTCGCCTCGACTAAGGGACTCGGCGAGATAAGATAGGAAACAAGGGCCCAGACCCTTAGTCGTTTCCGAGAAAAAGCCAAAAGTAGTCGCCTCGACTGAGGGACTCGGCGAGTATATAAAGAAACAACGGGGCACTGACCCTAAAATGTTTCTGAGAAAGAAAAAGCCTAAGGGGTCGCCTCGACTGAGGGACTCGGCGAGAAAAGATAGGAAACAAGGGCCAAGACCATTAGTCGTTTCCGAGAAAAAGCCAAAAGGAGTCGCCTCGACTGAGGGACTCGGCGAGTATATAAAGAAACAACGGGGCACTTACCCTAAACCGTTTCTGAGAAAGAAAAAGCCTAAGGGGTCGCCTCGACTGAGGGACTCGGCGAGAAAAGATAGGAAAAAAGGGCCCAGACCCTTAGTCATTTCCGAGAAAAAGCCAAAAGGAGTCGCCTCGACTAAGGGACTCGGCGAGTATATAAAGAGACAACGGGGCACTGACCCTAAACCGTTTCTAAGAAAGAAAAAGGCTAAGGGGTCTCCTCGACTGAGGGACTCGGCGAGAAAAGATAGGAAACAAGGGCGTAGACCCTTAGTCGTTTCCGAGAAAAAGCCAAAAGGAGTCGCCTCGACTGAGGGACTCGGCGAGTATATAAAGAGACAATGGGGCACTAACCCTAAACCGTTTCTAAGAAAGAAAAAGCCTAAGGGGTCGCCTCGACTGAGGGACTCGGCGAGAAAAGATAGGAAACAAGGGCCCAGACCCTTAGTCATTTTCGAGAAAAAGTCAAAAGGAGTCGCCTCGACTGAGGGACTCGGTGAGTATATAAAGAAACAACGGGGCACTGACGCTAAACCGTTTCTAAGAAAGAAAAAAGCCTAAGGGGTCGCCTCGACTGAGGGACTCGGCGAGAAAAGAAAGGAAACAAGGGCCCAGACCCTTAGTCATTTCCGAGAAAAAGACAAAAGGAGTTGCCTCGACTAAGGGACTCGGCGAGTATATAAAGAAACAACGGGGCACTGACCCTAAACCATTTCTAAGAAAGAAAAAGCCTAAGGGGTCGCCTCAGCTGAGGGACTCGGCGAGAAAAGATAGGAAACAAGGGCCCAGACCCTTAGTCGTTTCCGAGAAAAACCCAAAAGGAGTCGCCTCGACTGAGGGACTCGGCGAGTATATAAAGAAACAACGGGGCGCTGACCCTAAACCGTTTCTGAGAAAGAAATAGCCTAAGAGGTCGCCTCGACTGAAGGGACTCAGCAAGAAAAGATAGGAAACAAGGGCCCAGACCCTTAGTCGTTTCCGAGAAAAAGCCAAAAGGAGTAGCCTCGACTGAGGGACTCGGCGAGTATATAAAGAAACAACAGGGCGCTGATTCTAAACCGTTTCTAATAAAGAAAAAGCCTAAGGGGTTGCCTCGACTGAGGGACTCAGCAAGAAAAGATAGGAAACAAGGGCCCAGACCCTTAGTCGTTTCCGAGAAAAAGCCAAAAAGAGTCGCCTCGACTGAGGGACTCGGCGAGTATTTAAAGAAACAACAGGGCACTGACCCTAAACCGTTTCTAAGAAAGAAAAAGCCTAAGGGGTCGCCTCAGCTGAGGGACTCGGCGAGAAAAGATAGGAAACAAGGGCCCAGACCCTTAGTCGTTTCCGAGAAAAAGCCAAAAAGAGTCGCCTCGACTGAGGGACTCGGCGAGTATTTAAAGAAACAACAAGGCACTGACCCTAAACCGTTTCTAAGAAAGAAAAAGCCTAAGGGGTCGCCTCAGCTGAGGGACTCGGCGAGAAAAGATAGGAAACAAGGGCCCAGACCCTTAGTCGTTTCCGAGAAAAACCCTTAAGGAGTCGCCTCGACTGAGGGACTCGGCGAGTTTATAAAGAAACAACAGGGCACTGATTCTAAACCGTTTCTAAGAAAGAAAAAGCCTAAGGGGTCGCCTCGACTGAGGGACTCGGCAAGAAAAGATATGAAACAAGGGCCCAGACCCTTAGTCGTTTTCGAGAAAAAGCCAAAAGGAGTCGTCTCGACTGAGGGACTTGGCGAGTATATAAAGAAACAACGGCGCACTGACTCTAAACCGTTTCTAAGAAAGAAAAAACCTAAGGGGTCGCCTCGACTAAGGGACTCGGCGAGAAAAGATAGGAAACAAGGGCCCAGACCTTTAGTCATTTCCGAGAAAGAGCCAAAAGAAGCCGCCTCGACTGAGGGACTCGGCGAGTATATTAAGAAACAACTTGGCACTGACCCTAAACCGTTTCTTAAAAAAGAAAAAACCTAAGGGTTCGCCTCGACTAAGGGACACGGCAAGAACAGATAGGAAACGAGATCCTTGGCTGCGGAAGTCCAACAAAGTAGAAGAGCCCAAGGCCTTAAGTTATTTCCTATGAACCAAAAGCAGAAAATGACTGTCTTCTCAGAGGTCTCCCTTCGGTGCTACTTCCTCTGTTCAACAGTCGCCGACCACGATTCGTACAGAGAATGTTCCGACTCCACTCAATTCGCCGCCTCTGGGTACTGCCAGGGTGACTGCTCAGGACGGGTCCTTTGTGGAGGTGGCCGTCCCCGAGCAGTTGACCTTTCGTAGGACCTTCTCCATTCCGCTTGATGACCTGGATGGACCGGCTACCGGCCTAATGAAAGACGCCGACTTCGCTCGATATCTGGAGATGTATCCGGATGACGAAGAGCCGGTGGCAGACGTTGATGAAGCAGGTGAGAAGACGGTAGAGTTGGGTACTAACTGACCTGGAACGAGGTTGTAATGGCGGAAGAAAAGGGAAAGAAACGGACACGGAGGCACTCGGAAGCCAAAGGCAACCGAGTGCAGGTGAATACCCACGCAGCCCTCCGGTGGGTCATAGATATGACGGCTTTCTGGGGCAAAGACGAGGGCAGAAGGCCCAAGAAGGTAGCGGGCCATTTCTAGGTCCGCCGCCGAGATTTGCGACGGGCGCCCTTTCGGCCGGACGATAGAGTCGAACTTGCCTCGCGACCGTCCTGCGTCATCAGGAAGAGCCGCCACCGTCGTGAGAGGCGCCGGACTCAGAGGAGCCACCGCCCCCGAAGAAGATGGGGTCGGTTGTGAAGAAGACGTCGGTGAGAGACCAGACGGAATCTCCATACGGCGAGGACTGGAAGTGGAAGAAGAAGACTAAGAAGTCGACGCGGGGTTTCCCGCCGAGCGACGGGAAGAAGAAGAATCAGAGGAGGAAGACATTACCAACCAGAGAGTGCTAAACGGAGGAAGAATGCAGGGGCTTGCGTTGTGCTCTTTTTAGAGAATTTCGGAGAAAGTGAAAGAAGAGGGAAGAAGACGAGTATTTAAAGGGGGTAAGAATCCCAAAGGGCGGCCACGCGTCACCCTCCCGTTGGAGGAAAGAAGGGTGACAAGAAGTGAAAGGACGCCGCATTTAATGCCTAGGAAAGCGGAGCGACGGTTCAGGCCTAGGGGTAGCCTGCAAGCGGCGCGTCTACCCTAGGCTAGAACCGGATAGCCATGACCCGGCCTGGTAACCAGAAGCCCATCGTAGGCCCTGGCCTCTAGGCCCACCAGGTGTGGACATGAAGCTTCCAGAAGGGGCCCAGCAAAACCCGGCCCGTTTTAGCCTGGTTGGCACAGGCAATGTTTGCAAAAGATCCAAGTCTAGGAGTCGGACGATTAGGCTGGGCGACTCCTAAACACGAGAGGCCTCGATAGGGTTAACCAAGAGTCGACCAATGAATATACGGAGATAAGGAAAAAACACTACAAGCAGACAAAAGGACAAACAGTTTATTCGAAAAAACATCAAAGGGGCCTAAGACTCGGCCAAATACGAGACGCAAAGGAAAAGACAGATCATGGCTCGGCTTCTTCCTCCGACGGCTGAGCAGGTGGAGGACCCTCCAAGAAGTACTGAGGGCGGAAAGGTGAAGGACTCGGCTCAGGGTCCGGCACCTCGTCCAGATACACGGCTGGCTTCCCGTCATCGATCATCTGCAAGGGCCTCTCCAAGGCACTCAGAGACATGGCTACGCCGAAAAGAGCTTGAGTCGCCCACTAGATGTCCGCACCTCCTCCTCCAGGCCCGGATCGTCCGCCACTGGTTCCACCTTGTCATCAGCTGGCTCCACGGGGGCCAGATCCAGCATATCTGGGGACACCACGATAGGATCAGAGCTTGAGTCGCCCACTAGATGTCCACCTTTGGCCAGCCTTTTCTACCTTAGCTCTTCCAGGCAAGCATGCTCCTTGTTGCGAACGGAGAAGCGACGATCGCCGACTCTGTAGCTCATGATCAAAAGTCTATGAATAGAAGTGGTATGAATCACCAACGTAAGAGGCCTTCATATAGCCTTAGAAGGGCGAATATCTAGGTGGAAATCACGGAGCTGATAGTAAACTGCCGTGATCAGGCCAGATTGGACGGGAGACTGGGATCTGTGTCAGGGGGTAGTTCCATCAAATCCGCTCGAAAAGAGTGAGATTCGCACGTTGAACTGAAAAAGGCAGATTCACCCAGGATACGGGGAATATTTGCAGGCGTCAGACTGGAAAGGGCCTGACAACGTGGCCGACTCCCGGACCCATCGGCCGGGAGAGTAGAATGGGTGCCGAAAAAGAATTAAGAAGCAAAGTCCCCCAAGGTGGGAACGTAATTTTATTAATAAAGAAGGGGAATACACAAAATAAAGAGCTTATTACATCACAAATAAAGAAGAAATGCTCTTATGTAGTCCCCCCCCCCCCTAAGAAATACGGAAACAAATCTTGACCGAGGCCGTCACTCGCCGGCAGAAGAAGAGCCGCTTCCAAAGAACGCCTCCCTCGATGGTCTAGTGGGAGACGGACAGAAGGTATCGCAGAAAGCTGGCATGATTGGTGGCACCACCAGCTCTTCGTCATCCGGATACATCTCCAGATATCGAGCGAAGTCGGCATCATTCATCAGGCCCGTAGCCGGTCCATCTAGGTCATCAAGCGGAATGGAGAAGGTCATACGAAAGGTCAACTGCTCGGGGACGGCTACCTCCACAAAGGACCCGTCCTGAGCAGTCACCCTGGCAGTACCCGGAGGCGGCGGATTGAGTGGAGTCGGAACATTCTCCGAACGAATCGGGGTCGGCGGCTGTTGAACAGAGGAAGTAGCACCGGAGGGAGACCTCTGAGAAGACGGGCGAGGAGCCTTTTTCTTATTCCCCCTCTCATGTCGAGTCCGCTTGGAAGGTAGAGGGCGTCGAGGAGACCCAATGTCGATCCGCTTTCCTTTCAAAGGCGAGCGACCCATGGTTGAACAAGTGAGAAGAGGCGTAGAGGACAAGAGGCTATTTATAGGAACCATACGGGGCGGAGAGAATCCAAATGGCTCCGCTGAATCCGGGAAGATAGCGGAGGATCCGGACGTTAGGAGGCCTCTTTAAATACGGGGATTCGATAATGGAAAGGATGGGCGGTTACTACTTTCCCAAACCCGGATTAGTGGCCCGGGTATGAGAAAGTGAGGGACTAGTTGATGGGGTGAGGACCCCGGCCCAAGAAGAAGGGCCCAAGAAAGGAGTCCAGAAAGGAAGATATGGGCCAGTAGCGAAGAGAAGCCCAGTGAAAAGCTTGGGCCGAGTCCAGGAGTCGGCCTAGGCCCAAGCATGGATAGAGATTCGACCCTGAGCCGTTAAGGAACATTGAAGAGTCTCATTTAAGGAGACTCGGCCCCGAAAGGCGTTCCAGCGTAGCCTTTAAGTCGGTCCCAGAGCCGTTGGAGGCATTCAAAGCGGGACTCGGTCAGACAGGCGGTTACGAGTCCATAGAGTCGTTGGCCGGTCCGGTAACGGCACCCAACGACTTAATCATTGTAAATAGCCTTAATGTCTGTAATTAATGACCTTCAAGACGGATGGAGAGAGCCTGCTATATAAAGGCCTCTCCACCCCTGTAACAAAAGGGGGTCCATGCCCAGAGAAGAAGACATACACACTTCCTAGTTATTCGACTACCCTTTTACGATCACTTTTGTGAAAGATGAATCCACCAACCAAAGGTTGTGTTGGATCTCCTTGGTCCCGAAAACCCAAAAACCAACAATTATTATTATTATTGTTGTTGTTGTTGTTGTTATTATTATTATTATTATTATTATCATTATCATTATCATTATCATTATCATTATCATTATCATTATCATTATCATTATCATTATCATTATCATTATCATTATCATTATCATTATTATTATTATTATTATTATTATTATTATTATTATTATTATTATTATTATTATTATTATTATTATTATTATTATTATTATTATTATTATTATATGTATACCCTTAGGTCATTTTACATGTTAATCTAAACAGCTAATTTTTTCAAATATCTTTTTACCATCCGTTGATATAATCCTTTGGTCAAATTCACTAATATAATCCGCTAAAGCTAACCGTTAATTGTCAAACAAGGACATTGCGATGTAGTTCTCACTTCAATTTGTTGTGTGATTTGAATACTCTCTTTGTCAACAAATCCCTCAAGTAGTTAATATGATTGGCTTTATTAATTATATATTTTTAATTTTTCATGGTATTAATAAAATACTTTGATATTTAATTAAAAAATAGTGCACAAAAAAGATAATAGACAATGTAGTGAATCAATTGATGAATTTGAATGTAAGAATTTTTGCATTAGAGAAATATAAAGACAATATAACTAATGAAATTATTTCTCTTAATTAATTTTTTGATAATGAATAATTTTTTTTTAATGAAGACATTGTAGGGACAATGTAGCGAATATAATCAATTGATGAATTTGAATGTAAAGAATTTTTATATTGGAGAAAAATAAATACAATATAACTAATGAAATTATTTCTCTTATTTAATCTAAAAGCATAATAAGTCTCAATCAAAGTTATATCCCTCATTTATGTCCATGTTTTCAATGCTAACCATTATGTACATTGTGCTTTTAGAGTTGTACTATACAATTTTTTGGACAGAAATACCCTTACCGTTATAACTTTCGTTATCTTTTCCATTACTTTTACCATACACATGCATCCATCATATCTTTTCTTATATTTTTTAATGATAACAATATTTGTACAACATTATATATTCATTATATATTGGATTAATATAATAAAAAAATTTTATTTCCACTTAGATTTTAATTAGTAAAAATCTATTAGTTATTTTTAAAATTATAAATATTGGGCATATGTTTTTGCGCATCGCGCATAAAAAAGACTAGTTTATTGATAATGGATAATTTTTTTTGAATAAAGACATTGTAGACACATAATTCTAAATTATAGAAATGCATATGTATATTTTTTGTTGTAGCTACTAAATTATTATTTAATTTAATAAGAGTAAAATAGAGTACTAATTATGCCAACTTTGATTGGGATGAGGTTTGAACCAATGACCTTTCTTATTGAAATCAATGAGTAAGTTAACGGTGAACTAACAGAAATTAATGGAAAAGATAATATTTAACGGAAAAGTTAACGGATAATCATATTCATTAAGGATAAATTAGGAAATCTTAAGGAAAAACTAAAATCTGATCAATCTGAGCCATTCATTTGATTAAAAATTTTGACCGTCATTTTTTCTACCCATTATAGGCCTAACTCTCTTGGACTCTTATTAGTGTATATATATATATATATATATATATATATATATATATATATATATATATATATATATATATATATATATATATATATATATATATATATATATATATATATATATATAT